TATATCTTTCTTGACAACGTTCACAATATACACAATGGCTGCTTCCAATAATCTGACTATATAATGCACCAAATATATTTGTATATATTTCTGATTTTACAAGGTTATCTCCCTTGCACTGGAAACTCCAGCTGTCAGTGATTTTGTCATGACAATGGCGAGCTATTCAAAAAAGCCGGAAGAAAAAAATCATCTCCCTGAAAGTACAACAATAATACTTTGGAAAATACATTTAAAGACTCCCATGTGAAAAACCGTCAATAAGAATTAGGACTTAATAAAATATCAGTTTCATATATACCCTAATTTTTTACATCGTGGTTAAATTAGTATTAATATAAAATTCTACTAGACATAAAATGGATGACTGCTTTCCTATTATATTAGTTAATAAACTGATCATTTCAGAATGGCTATATATTAAAATTGGGAAGATACATTTAAAAACTGACATGTGAAAACCTAACAATAAAATCTTAATTTCGATATTAATCACATTTGCTCAGGTTTTTATAATTTCGCTGAAATAAACTCGAACTTGTAATTACAGCTCATGAAATTCTTGTTTATAAATATATCTACACTATTTACATTATTCGGACTATTGTCCTCATCTTTCTTTATCGTCATGTTTATCACAACGGCCTTCTTCAGGTGGTTGGAATGTCGAATTAAACTCTTTATTTCGCTCACTGGGCTAGACTGTTCTAGTTCCACGTGCCATGTCTAATGTATGTCAGTTATCTCCTGTTAATTCTCCTCGGAAAGTTAATCAGCTCTTGAACTCACACTCTTTGGGTCCTGTCACTGGTTCTAACTAACGTCTTTATCTATTGTGCCATTTGTCCTTGAGGACATCTGTGTATGAATTTTTGGGTATTATAAACCTAATGTCTCCAGCTAACATTTTTTGCCAGTGCTCATATTGCAATTTTTGCTGTTGTCATTGCATGTTATTTTACCAGAACTCATATTGCAATTTTTGTTGTTATTATCGCTTTTCTCTGGCACTCCTTATTACTGGTTCGACATTCCAACCACCTGAAGAAAGCCGGAGCGTACAATGACCGAAACGTTGTGATAAACATGGCGGCAAAGATGAGGATAATAGTCTGAATAATGTAAATAGTGTACATAATACCTCATCTCAGAAATACAGACACATAAATATATCTCCCCATTAGTTGTAACTTTCATTCGACTTTATAAAACACTTGTCCGAAATTATTCTATTATTAATCTTAACTTAGTCTTTAGGATTTTAATTTTTACATAGGTTGTCTTTTATTTCTGATCTTGCACTGTCTGCACATTGCCGTAGATCGACGGATCGCATAAAAGTTGCACTAAGAAGGAAGTATAAAAACCCGGATGAAAGTAATTACAGCTGAACATTAATAATAATGATTGACAATACTAATAAGAAAATTTAATAAAAAAAATCTAATAAGTTTGTATTTGAAATTAATTATTAATTGAATTATTTTGAATGATTTTCATGATTTTAGAGAAAAAAAATGACATGTCTACAAGATGTCAGGCAAAATTGTTATATGATTAGTTATTTATGACGACCCCTGATAAGACGGAGTGGATTTAAAAAAAAATTCAATCCAAAGGACAAAGAAAATTCAGGCAAGAACAAAAAAAAAAAAAATCAATAACCACGTCTGAATCTTAGCGCCAAGTGCATTTGAAACCCGTATATGTATATAAGGTATGTATGTATATGTATATGTATGTATGTATATGTATATGTATATGTATGTATGTATATGTATATGTATATGTATGTATGTATATGTGATATAAGGTTTCGGTTTTTTATATCGCTGTCCATTACACACCATTTTGCTTTATTTTCGACGCTAACAACTGAAATCTTTCTAGTGTTAAGGAAATCAAAATTTGATGATTGCAATTTTTATTCTGCCATTTGTTACAACACACAATCCGTATGTTGTGTTGGACGTCAGGCAGAAAGGGATTGTCAATGGTCAGGAATTAATGTTATCATGATTAACAGAAAAAAGATATTATATTTATAATTAAAAATTATGCCCAGCTTTGCAAGGATCAAATAGGATTCATTTTCTCTGCGACGCCACGCTTTTCTTTGAGATATTTGTAAATTGCCGTAAAATGACATCAGCAAAATGATCGTTATTAAAATCTTTCGATTGGTTTAGACACTTCGTAGCCTTTTATTTTCATATCTTGCATGTTATTACAATTTACAAAGTTTGTTAAATTTTCAAAATATACTATTAACAATGGAAACCTTTCTTTCTTCATCGTTATACATTGCTTACTTCCCTTTACTCCCAAACTGGGATGTAAATGCTACGAAGGACAGAAAATGACTTTATTTGAATAACTATGCAGTTAGATTATAAAAGCTATCAATAAAACAGTCACTTATTTTTGTAACGTACCGTGGCCGTTAATAATTAAGTATAACTCAAGAATTCAATATTGAAATAAAACAGTAATTAAAACTGCAAATAAATACTTAACAAGAACAAAGAAATAAAAGTCAACCAAATATAATTAACCATTTCAATAAATACTTTGTTAGTAGCGCGGCTCGGCTTAACGTCTGGTAAATCCTAAATCAAAACCTAAATCATAGACGCACAATAATTCACACTAATTCGACTGGATAGTTCCACTGAATAGTTACTAAATAATCAGTTTAGTCAGTAGCCTGACACCGCTATTTATACACCTGGCGGAAAATATATATTCATAAGTCCAGAGTGTCACGATCGAACCTCGGTGTCGGTAGTTACTCATTTTCTTTCTACATGGCACTTATTTATAACGACCACAAAAGATAAAATTGGAAATGAATAACAAATCAGCTATTTTTAAAATCTGATTTTTAAAGTGGAATATACAGATTAGATATCCCCATTAAATAAGAATCAGTAAGTTGGAAATTTTGACAGATGCAAATGATAAAACTACATTTATCTATTTTAGGTCATATTTGGCCCCAGGCAATACCTCACCGTCGCAAGGAGGCTGGGTTTATTGCCTGGCACCTGAGCCGTCCCCAAAAGGTGAAGTGCTGAGGCAGATTTGCGCAATATTTCCACGGCATTGCCGTTAAACACACTTCAAACTGACGTGTCACATTCGGTAGCGACGTGGACGCACAGAAGAAATACCCATATTTGGCTCTCGAGTGCCCCATATTAAATTGACCTTGATTCTATATATTTAATTAATTTTCATAATTTTCGAGTAGACATGCAAACAACTTATGTGCTTTATATATTAGATGTAAATAAATTACTGATGATTTTTCCAAAAAAAAAAATGCATTAAAAATCAGGAAGTTAAATATTGTTATTGGCCAAGAATTAATACATACAGAATTCTGATGTATAATTACCAATCTCTTAGAATTAGCAGAACAGAGATTAGGAGAAATAGCAAAAAGACAAAATTTACTAAGAGCTACAAAAGATAGGAAATTGTGGAGAGCCATGATCGCCAACGTCATGAAGGGATATGACATAGAAGAAGAAAAATTAGTCGCTTATGTGCAATTAAAAGCGTGACTCTTATAGAGAAATGTAGCATGTACGCAAATGGTGAATATTACAATAAATTAGTTTCCCTTCGCTTGCGTGTATATAAGGATGAGTTTTATCCAATCGGTTTTTTCAGGTTGGATCCAAACACCCGATTCTTATTGAATATACCAATTCAGAAAAAATCCGGAAAAAAAATTTACATTCAGGTCTTTCTGATGTTAACAGGGAAATGGTCGATTGCGACGGATTTTAGGATAAAGAAAAACAAATATAAATTGTCAGAGTAACTCGCCGTGGAAAAATTTAGTCCGCTTATATTAGTCGTGGGTTCGAAACTCATCGAGTTCCCGAAATGTGTGACCTTTTTTTTTCAGATTAAAATTAGTAAATAACTAAGAGTATCTTGATGTAGAGAAGTGATGAACAATCATTCGGGGAATTCCCTGCGCGCGTGGCCTTGTGTCAGACGAAACTAAATTTCGTAGATAACCACTCCTTTCAAACAATGCAAACTGTTATCGATGGAAATTAATGCTATAGTGAATTTGATTCTCATTGGGTGTCCTTTATTTAGCAAATATCAAGGAAACTTTCATTCCGTAAAATATGCCACATGGTGCTTAAATTAATCATCATTTATTTACATTGTTCAACTGTTGTCCTCATCTTTATTACCATATTCGGCCATTGTAGGCGTTGGCCTTCTTCAGGTGAGTGAAATTTCGAATTAAACCTTTTATTTCGTTCACCTGGATAGATTGTTCTAGTTCCACGTGTTATACCTCTTCCGTCTCAGTTATCTCCCTTTTAACTCAACTCTCCAAGTTTTTGTTCATCACATGGCTCAGTGGATAAATGCGTTGGTTGGATAAGTGACTTGACCCAAAGAGTTGTGAAATTAATACATGGCAACAGCAGTTGGTCGAAAGAAAGGCCTTGTGTCAGACGAAGCTAAGTTTGGTAAATAACCACTCCTTTCAAACAAAGCAAACTGTTATCGATGGAAATTACAGCTATAGTGAATTTGATTATCACCGGGTGTCATTTATTTAGCAATTTATTTAATCATCATTTATAGAAAAATATATTATCTTTCAAAAAGACATTGAATATAATTTTCGGATTAGGAAAATTCGAAAACCTGAAATTAAGATTTATAAATAAATTAACTGGATGAAGAGGTCTAAAATTGATTCGCTAGGAGCATGCTGAGTGTGGCTGGCTAACATTAATATATCTATAAGAAAAATGATTTACAATTTAAAAATTTGGATATATTGGAGATAATGGGATGTTATTTAATATTCTTACAAGAAGTGAATTACATTGCATCAATTTGAAGAAGATTAGCAAGAATTACATCTTGAAATATTTTGAGAAGTAGAAACAAAGTGAAGAGAAGAGACACGAAAACGCATCAAGTAAAGACGAAACGAAACAAAAAAGAAAATACATTTAAAGCACAAGAAGGAAAGAAATGTGAAGAAGAAAAGAAATAAGAGGAAGTAAAGAAACAGGAAGAAGAAAAGAAATAAGAGGAAGGAAAGAGACGTGAAGAAGAAAAGAAATAAGAGGAAGAAAAGAGACGTGAAGAAGAAAAGAAATAAGAGGAAGGAAAAGAGACGTGAAGAAGAAAAGAAATAAGAGGAAGAAAAGAGACGTGAAGAAGAAAAGAAATAAGAGGAAGAAAAGAGACGTGAAGAAGAAAAGAAATAAGAGGAAGAAAAGAGACGTGAAGAAGAAAAGAAATAAGAGGAAGGAAAAGAGACGTGAAGAAGAAAAGAAATAAGAGGAAGAAAAGAGACGAAGAAGAAAAGAAATAAGAGGAAGGAAAAGAGACGAAGAAGAAAAGAAATAAGAGGAAGAAAAGAGACGAAGAAGAAAAAGAAATAAGAGGAAGAAAAGAGACGTGAAGAAGAAAAGAAATAAGAGGAAGGAAAAGAGACGTGAAGAAGAAAAGAAATAAGAGGAAGAAAAGAGACGTGAAGAAGAAAAGAAATAAGAGGAAGGAAAAGAGAGACGAAGAAGAAAAGAAATAAGAGGAAGAAAAGAGACGTGAAGAAGAAAAGAAATAAGAGGAAGGAAAAGAGACGTGAAGAAGAAAAGAAATAAGAGGAAGAAAAGAGACGTGAAGAAGAAAAGAAATAAGAGGAAGGAAAAGAGACGTGAAGAAGAAAAGAAATAAGAGGAAGAAAAGAGACGTGAAGAAGAAAAGAAATAAGAGGAAGAAAAGAGACGTGAAGAAGAAAAGAAATAAGAGGAAGGAAAAGAGACGTGAAGAAGAAAAGAAATAAGAGGAAGGAAAAGAGACGTGAAGAAGAAAAGAAATAAGAGGAAGAAAAGAGACGTGAAGAAGAAAAGAAATAAGAGGAAGGAAAAGAGACGTGAAGAAGAAAAGAAATAAGAGGAAGGAAAAGAGACGTGAAGAAGAAACAAAAAAATGGAAGATATATCAGGTAAAGAAGACTAGAAAAATATATAATGTCAAATTAAAGAATAAAAGATACATGAAAAAAAAAAAGCAGCTCGAAGACATATCAAGTTAAAGAAAGAAAAGAAACAGGAAGAACCATGAAGAAGAAGAAGAAGAAGAAGAAGAAGAAGAAGAAGAAGAAGAAGAACCATGGAGAAGAAGAACCATGGAGAAGAAGAACCATGAAGAAGAACCATGGAGAAGAAGAAGAAGAAGAAGAAGAAGAAGAAGAAGAAGAAGAAGAAGAAGAAGAAGAAAAACAGAAATATTAATGCCAGTGAGCGAAATAAAGGGTTCAGTTCGACATTCCAACCACCTGAAGGATGCCAGAGCGTACAACGGCCGAAACGTTGTAATAAATATGGCGACAAAGATGAGGACAATAGTCCGAATAATGTAAATAATGTACATAATACCTCATCTCAGAAAAATAGACAAATACTGAAATATTAAGGCATATTGAAGAATAAAAGAAGAAAAGAAACACGAAAAGACAACAACCAAAAAATGAAGACGAGAAGAAACACAGACCAACTAAAGAGAAGAGAAACACGAAAAAAAAAAACGTAAAAAAAAAAAAAAAAAACAAAAAACATTGGATACAAATTGAATTAAAAAAAACACGAGGAAGGAAAGAAAATGAAACCCAACGAACCCAAACAAAAATTAACGATATAGAGAAAAGTAAGAAATAAGAAAAATGAAACATTGTAAATATTTAAGCTGCACTCAATCTTATACAATGTCAGTTAGAAGATTATGTAGCGCCATTCTTCTAAGAGATTATATACTTTCGTTAAATATTCAAAGTCATATTTGTTAATTTTTTTAAACCTACATTCGAAATATTTCGCTACGTAATACGTTGAAACTATTTTTTTTGCAAAAATCCCAATTAATTTGTCTTGTAGTATCCATAATAGATAGTAGGTGTCATTTATAAAATTTAGTTTAGTTTGGAGCAAGACCAATAATATAGGGCTCTCAGTGTGATTCGAACTCATTACTCACTAGTAATGATATCCTAAACTATCTCTTTAATCATAGCTCCCAATAAATAGTAATTTGAGTTGTTTTTAAATCAACTATAATGCAATGGTTTACGGATACAATTTTAAAACTTAAAGATCTTATGCTTCAGAAACACCAACATACAGATTGGTTCGAAATTCATAAAAATATCACCTGAAGAAGGCCGGAGCATACAACGGTCGAAACGTCGTGAATATGGCAATAAAGATGAGGACAACAGTCCGAGCAATGTAAATAATGTAAATAATTACCATACCTCATCTCAGAAATATATGTTGCAATTAGTTTATGACTGTATCAGAGATACAACATTCATTTTTAAAAAAAATAGAGAATGCATTTTGATTTTGGCATGTTGTGGGCGATTATATCCCACAACATGCCAAACTAATCATCTTGATACTAATCTCAAGAGACACATTTTTTTTTACCCTCCTCGTTGCAAACAAGAATTTATTTACTTTGAGCTTTATTCTTTTGCTGGAAATGCACTGAAACATTCATCATAAATTTAACGCGGAGAGCAAATTCAATGTAAAAAGTGTTTTGGAAATCCTGTCAGCTTTATCGCAACAGGCCATTGATTGAAGTTCATATATCGGTTATGCTAGTTATAAACGATGCTTGTAGGGTTTAAGAGCTGATAACTTTGTAGAGATTTTGTTCAGGCAAAGCAACTTGTGTGGGATGGAGGGATTTTTCTTTCTTAAGTAGAAATTTGAACTTTGAAACTTTTAGGCACTATGAGAAATACAACCAAAGATTTTAGAGATTAGAAAATAATTCACAATTTTTGTTCGGTAATCGGGTAGGATTTTTGGTAACGATAAAATTTTGTAAATAAGTCTATAAGAAGACATTTAAAATGTATATGTTTATATAAGCTGATACTTAAATGTTTTCGGAAAATTAATCATGAACACAACTAGATTTTTTGACAACTAGATTCTGTCGCCTAACTTAAAGTAGCATCTTGCCTGCACTTTGCTCAATGCTTACAGTGTATTTTTTTTAAACTAATGTTCACCCAATACAAGTTCCAATAGCGAATAAAATTTCAGAGTTCACCCAGAGACGTTAGGAGTATAGAGTTGAAGTAGACTTTGGAAAGAACAGGAAACAAGGGATGAACCTTTACTCCTGTTCAAAAGACCAGGGATGAGTGTGAACCGGGCGATAGGCAAACGTTACTCATAAAGAGCAGCGTCAAAAGTCTGTACTACATTCAGTTCACGCTGTGTTCAATTTCCCTATATTATGGAGTAGGGCCTCGTATTTACAGGGTTTATAGATTGCGTTTATTTCTGTGGGATTTTATGACTGGAAAAATTGCTTACAATTTTATTATGTTTCATTTTGATCAATTTTACAGTGTTTTATTTTTGTTTTTTTTAATTCTGCTATTTTGTAATATTAAAATAATTCCATAACGTAGTAAATCGTCAGGGGTCGGGATAGCATGCTGGACCCTTCATAGGATTTCTCGGGTCAATGCTCGGCAGTTCTTATCCCCTTTCCAAATAACCCATGGTACATTTTATTAGGTTACATGGTATCAGTATCAAGAAGCAATCCTGGTCTAACTAAATAAAATTTAATAAAAAAATATAGTCAAAAAAGAAGTCAAGAACATAATTTGGCAGAAGACCACGGGTATGAGGCATTTAGTGAATATCGAACTTATTACCAATAGTTTAAAAGATTAGCTTGTCAAGCATTATGCCACGACCAGGTGCTCACATACCGTGGTATTAATCAATGTGATTATTTGATTTAAAATGTCAGCTTTGTACTGCGTTAGTCTCAAGGACTCAATGGTCGGTAAAAACTCGGATATGTCATTTGCACTTCGTGTTATTTGTATTGCGAAATAAATTCAACGGGTAGTTGGGAAGGCAAACAGCTTGACAACGATCCAACACACAAACACACTGATAACGATGAGCTCATCAACAATGACTTCTTCGCGGAAATGCACACACGCAGTATTCATTTTTTTTTTCTTTTTATAATTATTAAAAAAGAAAAGAAAAAAAAGAAGACAAATTGAGATTAAGGGATAAAAAGAAAACACGAGCATTCCAGTTTTTTTAAAAAAAAAAAAAGAAAAAAGGTATTCAAATCTACAACAGGTATAATTCACTCACAGTTCTCTCTTTCCTTTTTGTGGCCATGGTCACAGCATTATCACGTGACTGGAAAGGTTAATCAGCGTCCAACGATGATAGCGTACGCGCGATTTGCCGCTCGATTCAACTACTACTTTCGCACGTTTCTGTATTTGTGCGTATGCGTGAGTCCTATGTGAGGCTATGATACGTACGCGTCCTAGCATTTACTATAGCTTCTATCTGCACCGATAGAAGTGTATGTGTGTGTGTGTGTGTGTGTGTGTGTCTAAGAAAGAGAGAGAGAGAGAGAGAAAGAAAGAGAGAGAGAGGGAGATAGATAGATAGAGAGTATTTTACACAGAGATATTTGTGCTTTTTTTTCAATCTCAATGAAATTTTATAATTATTGCTTCTGCTACGTGTGAATTGTCGAGGAATTTATTCTCGACATGCTTGTCTCTCTTTTTTTTGGCCTTCTTTATGGAATTATTTCATCGGTATCTACTTTGTGTGTCTGTGTGTGTCTGTGTGTTTGTGCCTATGTGTGCCTGTGCGGTAATATCAATGCACTGTAAGACATACGTGTCAATACATATGATAAATATACAAAAAAATAATGAATTACGCTCGAGTGCGCGAAGTTATCCCTGTGAATATATATTCTTATGTTTGGGCAAAGATGACAGGCCCCTTAAATATCACCGCATTACGGCCGATTTTTTAAAAAATGTTCTGCTCATGCATCAAAATATGAATTATGATATGCATATATAATGGATGCATTGGTGTAGGAAAGGTTTTATGAGTGTGAATTCTATGTATTTGTGGGCGTGTACCACGCAGAAGGTGGTATAAAATAGTTTCTACAAATCTGATTGGCTTCTGTCAAGGTTGCCTATGGGTGTAACAGCTTTTTGCTGAAACTACCCGGACATATAAAGTACTTATGGGGAGCGCTTTTTCCCCCAAGTTGTTCCAAAATATGTTAGTAACGAGACATATCGTCAATATGTCTGGTGGTGACGGGACAGAATTCACTGAGAAGATTATTAGTGAGAAATGAATATAGTCATAGCCGATATTCGAACTCATTTCCCCGATTTTGTTTTCGCTGCAGTTAGCAATTACACCACCCCCGCACCTCGAATCCTTTTTTTTTTAACTAAATATTATGTATTGCTTCTACTGTTTTATCGAAATTTACTGAGCTTAGCTTGGAACGGCACAAGGCTAATAAATAAAGAGAAAAGGGAGGTTTTAGTGTCCGCTTCTTCACGTACCTAGAAAATCAACATTAAAAAGCTTGTTTTTTTAAGTTGGGCTCGAACACCGATCAGTAGCATCAGTGAAAAATATATAACGACTCCAGTCGCTAAGCAGTCTATATACATATTTACTAAGATCAATGGAAATACCATTACGAAGATTGTAGTGCGCCAATTTTCCAAGTATGGACAACATTGAAAATCAGTATGCGATTTTTTTCACTCGAATTCTGATATCTTTTTATAATCCAAGCAAAGCATTAAAGCCACTAAGACACAAGAGCTTTGTGAGTGTGAAAAATATAAGAAAAAGAAAAACATTATTAAGTAAAGAAAATAATAAAAAACAGGATTTATGAAGACAGACGATAATGATTGACATTGCATTTAAATTTTTGATGATCAAAGTTGACTAGAAATCAAAAAGGCGAAAGTGAGTTCCACAAGCGAGAAGTGCGAAAGAAACTGATAGCATATAATTTCCGGTTGCATCTTGACATTTCAAATGTAAAATTATGAGACCAAGCTGCTAATCTAGTACTGCGCTTAAATTCGTAAAGTCTAGGGGCTAAAGAGGAATGCTCATCTGAACAATTACCATGAAAATATTTATAGAAAAGGCACAGGGAAGCTACACTACAGTAGTGGGAAAGTGACAGGGACGCTACCTCGAGGCGGCGGGGAAGCGACTGAAGCCAAGTTGCCATGTCAGGACCGATAAAATTGCAGATTCTTCTTTGGATTTTATCATGAATCTCTAAATACACAGTAGAAGC